AAAAAAAAAAAAAAAAAAAAAAAAAAGAAAAAAAAAACAACAACAACAACAACATAGTATTGTACGGTGAGCAGAGAATAAATATGCCCACCGCTTATGTGACATGTACAATTTGGACATATTAATTCTCTCCCACTGCATATGCCCAATGTGTACATGCCACATAAACAGTGAGCATATTAATTCTCTGCCCACGATAGGTAGGGGAGCAGATCCCTTGTTTATATATCTAGGTATTTATAAAATGTATTTCAATAAATCGACATTAAAAATGATGAAGAATAATTTGAATATAGAGCCTAATTTGGTGTACATATATAAATAAACTTTAACATCGAAATGTTTATGTTGAAAATACGGATTCAGAAATTAAGAGTAGACTGGGCTAGAATTTTAAAAACTAATTTTCAAAAAATCACATAATCCTTTTTCTTCAAATATTCACTGAAGTTGTGCTCAACGATCTTCTAAAAAAATTCATTATGCTCATTTCTAAAAACTAATTTGATGTGCTTTCACTAGTTTGACGCCGATCTCGTTTCTAAGGGACATTGTTTTTACCTTTCTTGGCCGAAGGTTGGTGCTCCATGTGAATTTCTAAAAATTTCACAATACAAATAAATAGATTTTTCATATGACATAATTAGTAGCAAAATGAAATGACTACATATCATAAATTATATCCGACTATAATATACAACAACCACACTAGAGGAAAGAGATTAGAAAAAAAAAAAGTCATACACAAACACACAATTAATACTTCAAACACAATCAACAAAACAAAAAAACCAAACGATCATAGCAATTACTATTTAAACCCTAAATAGATCAATTAAAGTGAGAAGATAGATAAAGACAATTAGACAAATGAAATAAGTATCTAATAGGGGTTTAATATCTTGTGGAAAGGATTGATCAACAATATATGATATTTTATTAGAGTAGTGTTAGTAGTCTTTGGACTCAATAGATAAATAAATTATTTTATTGAATTAGTAGGTTAGTTTATTAATAAAATAATTTTTTTTGTTCAATCTACTAATTATAAGGAAAAAAAAATAGTAGGCCTGGGCTTCAGCCTAGTCCAGCCTATACTAGATCCGTCCCTAGACTTGAAATGTTTATGTTGAAATCTCTCCCAACACTTTATGTCTTTGAAGTCAGATTCTGAGAAGCATAGTGCATCATCAGTTAATAATGTCATGAATATAAAAGTGAAACACGTTAATTTAGCGAACAACTTAGCATATGTTTGTACAGTTATTAACATCCTTGTACTTTGATATTTTATCAAGATTAATCAAATCGCATTATAGGTTAAATAACTAAATTGCGAAAGCACATGTTTATTGAATACATTAACTATATGTTTTCAAGA